TTATTTATTTATTTAATCAGTACCGGATATCGAACTCACAACCATGCATTTGCAAAGCAGGCACTTAATGCCACCGAGCTAAATCCCCAGCCCCTGAACATTTACTTATAAAGTTAATCAGTGAAAACTAAAAAAAAATTTATTTTGGGGGGGTACCGGGGATTGAACTCATGACCTCACGCTTACTAAGCAGCCACTTGTGCCATTGAGTTAAATCCCCAGCCAAAATATTTTGATAATATTTTAAATCAGAAATTATGGAGTGGTAGCAGTTTCCTATCTGTCTCAGTATCCAATAAAATTTAGCTTTTCTAGCTGAGTGTGATGGCGCATGACTATAATTCCAAGACTTGGGAGGCTGAGGCAGGAGGACTGCTGAGACTTTGAGGCTGACCTAAACTACGTGGCAAACCCATTTCCCATAAAATAATAAATAGAAGCTTTTATTCTGTTCACACACTACTCAAATGTTTTTCCCTTCTAGCAGTAAGTATTGAACTCAGCCTTGCACATACTAGGTCAATATTCTGCCACTGAGCTGTATCTCCAATCCTTACTTTATTTTTAGGACAACAAGGTTTCACTAAGTTTCCCCATCTGGCCTTGAACTTAATGATCCTTCTGCCTCAACTTTCCAAGTAGGTAGAGTTATTGGTATTGTCTGTGGTGCTGGGGATCAAGAACCCACATAGTGCAATCTTTTTGCTTTTCTAAATCTCTCATCAACACATTATCTATTCTGGTATGACTGCCTAGCATCCTATTCCCTGGAGTATTTGGCGATGAAGATCTTGAGGCATTTCTGGCTCTTATACCTGGGTGAAGGAAGGGAGGATGCTGTGGCTACACCTTGTGGGTGGAGGCCAGGATGTTGCTAAACATTCTATACCGCCCAGGAGTTCCTCACAACAAGGAATGGTCTATCCTCAAATGTCAGTAGTGTTTAAGTTGAAAAGGTTGATCTCAATCCTAAGTCTTACAAAAAAAATTGGGTTCATGGAGACTAATCTCATTGCTTTCATAATTTTAATTAGAAAAAACTAACAGATTTAGTTATGCTCCTTTTTCTAATTCTATCATTCTATTTCTCCAGGTTTGGATTCCTAGAATATTAAAGCTATGGAAGTACAGGAGTTCTGAGACACTGATGTTGTCAAACCCCAGTAGTACAAAACTCTCTTTGTGCTTCCTGGCTATAGAGTCTTCAAGATATTCCTCAATAAACTGAACCCAGCACTGAGCTCCAGGATGTATCTAGTAGGTTAATAAAGATTTCACAAAGGGCATGACAAATGCACACATATACCTTAACAGAGTTAACATCCCAGAATTATACAGCTCTCGATTATACTACTGATTGTAATTCAGTTGTATATTTAACTTATAATTCTGAAGTGGGGATGAATAAAGACTGAAAGAAAAAAGATACAAGAAAATAATTTGGGGGCCAGAGATACAGCTCAATGGCACAGTGCCTGCCTAGTAAATGTGAGGTTGTGAGTTAGATCCCCAGTACAAAAAGAAAAGAAAAGAATTTGGCATTTTGGGATAATATTATAGGTAATTATCCTTTTTTCTTTAAGTGCCAGAGGCTGAATGAAGGCCTTATGCATGCTGAGCATGTGCTCTATACCACTGAGCTACATCCTCAGCCTCTGGTAATTTTTTCTTGATTTTGATTTCTGATGTTACCAGTAATAATTAGCATTATTGATAACATTTTTTCTGTAATAAAAACTTCCCAAACAAGCTGGGGATTTAGCTCAGTCACATAAGTTGCCTGCCTGGCAAGCCTGAGTGACTTTGACCCTTGGTACAAAAAAAAAAAAAAAAAAAAAAAAAAAAAAGAAAAAAATCCCAAAACTATTCAAGTGCAACACTGTTTCTAATACTTAGGAGGGAGGCTGAGGCTCCAATTTGAAGACTAGCTAGGATAATTTAGTATGACTTTGTCTCAATATAAAAAGGGTTGTGATGTAGCTCTTGCCTTTTGCCTGACAGGTGTGCTGGATTTCATCCCCCTGGCAAAAAAACAAAAAACCCCTAAGTGTCTGTCAATAATAATAAGCATATTTATCTATATAATAAAATACTATAAATCCATTTAAAAATAAAAGAACAGGGCTGGGAACATAGCTCAGCAGTGCAGTGCTTTCCTGGCAAGCACAGGGTCGTGAGTTCAATCCCCAATATCAAAAAGATTAAAAATAAATAAAAATAAAGAACAACAAATTCTAGATGCTTATGTACTGTTTGAATATTGATAAGAATCTCTAACACACAGTGAAAATATCAAGACAGAGTAATGTGTACAGCATGCTATCACTGTATTAAAAGGAGGGAAATAACTGATGGCACATGTCTATGATGCCAGTAATCAGAAGGCTGAGGCAGGAAGATTATGAGTTCAAGGCCAGCATGGTCTATATAGTGAGAGTGTTGTCTCAAAAAAAAACCAAAAGGGGCTGGGGATTTAGCTCAGTGGCATAAGCGCCTGCCTTGTAAGCAGGCAGTCGTGAGTTTGATCCCTGGTACCAATAAAAAAAGAAAAAGCCCCCCCCCCAAAAAAAAACCCAAAAAAGGAGAGTATATATTTAATACATTTGTAAACAGGAGGTAAATATTTTGAAGGACATCCAAAAAACTAATAAAACTGGTCAATTTCAGAGAGAGGAAATGGATTTCTATGGAGTATTTCCTGTACATCAATGATTAATCGTATTACTAATACCCAGACAAAAAGTAATTTAAAGACTAATAAGCAAAATGCCAGTGAATCTTTTAGAGATAACAAATAATTACTCTGTATAAATCTGTATATATAAAATCCTGATGCTAACAGTGTTATGCTGAGATTGAAGATAAAATTAAAACAAAGGCATTAAACCAGAGAACAGTTTTCCAGACTCTTACCTTATTTTTTTTTTTTTTTCCTGATACTGGGGATCAGAAGTTGAAAGCAATGAGCTACATTCCCAGCCCACTTTATTTTGAAAGAGGGTCTTAAATTGCTCAGGCTGGCCTTCAATTTAGGCTTTTCCCACCTCAGGCCCTAGGCAGCTAAGATTACTGGTGTACAGTACCACACTAGAAAAGTTGTCCCCTTAATACAAGAAAAATGGAGGTAATAATAGTATCTACAAACAGAATTGCAGGTATGGATTAAATGATTCATAAATTAGTTTATTATTACTGCTGTTTCTACAAAGTTTACATGGCTACCAAGGAAAATGCTGAGCTCTGAATCTGGGCAGCCTAATACATTATTTGTGTTTTGCAGGTAATCATCTACAGCATGATTTTAAATAAAAAATAATTTACAGACTCTATGTCTCCATAGTATTTACTTACATATGGTCAAATATAGGCCCCCACCACATTCCATTCTTTAGACATTTGAAACTTTGTTTACTTATACTGCATTTAAGATAATATCTCTGGGTGAAAGCACCATGAAATACTTAACTGCTGTTTCTCTCATGGGAAAGTCAGAGGGCAGCTCAGCCAACACTGCTGCAGTAGAGCAGCAGAAAAGCCCAGTTGTCTTTACAGGTTGAGGACTGCTGCCATGAAGGCAATACTGGAAACACAGGCAGCTCTGTTGATTGCCTGACATTTTGCTTTACGAAATTTCAATTAAACAGTCTCATTTAAATTAAACTCTCATTTAAATTAAAGCATAAAACCGTGAAGTAAAGTAGACCACATGGCAGGTTAGCCAGCGGTTGGTTACCATTATGTATTAATTTCCTATTGCTGCTTTAATAAGTTCCACAAACTTGAGTAGTGTTAACACAAGAAAAAATTATAGTTTTGTAGTTTAGAAATGGGAAATAAAAGTGAAGCAGCATTGTTTGCCTTTCTAGAGAGTTTGCCTTCTAAGAGTCTTTTTTGTAATCATTGCCAAGCCCACAGGTTACCTGATTCATGGCTCCCTTTCATTTAGACTCTTTTGCTCCCCTCTTCTATCTTTTGAAGATCTGTAATTCAGTGAGTATATTGGATAATTCGATCCTTGAGAATTCACAGATGTAAAGAAGGGAAGGGAAACCCAAGCGATTGTTTCCCAAATGTGGTTTTGAATTGCTTTACCCTTCTGTGACAAGCATATACTATCAAATCTAGGATTATGTATGCATTTTAAGACCATAGGTTTCCTGAATTCAATCATAAAATGTCAGTGCGTTTTGAGAAATAAGTATTTATCACAGAATCTGACTGTTTTTTACATTTTAATAACGATTTGAAAAGACGGAACATTACCAACAAACCTCACCAACATCAACGGTATTGTAAACGGCAACAATACTCTACATTTTCCCTATGTCTAGGAATAATTCCATCTTACATGTATTATGTATTTCACACACAAACCCTAAAGCATATTTGCAGGTAACTAACTTTTATGTCCAATTTCCGATAAAGAATTAAGAAAAATATCTTGCCAGCGGACACACAAGCCCAAACGAGGCATGTTGGAGCGTTCGAGAGGTAGAGACAGGAGGATCTCATGTTCAAGCTCCGACTGGGCAATTTAGCAACTTGGTGAGATCCTAAGGAAAAAATATCAACGACAACAACAACAGACTGAGGATGTAGCTCAGTGGGAGGGTTCAACATCCCAGGACCAGGGGCGGGTGGTAAGAAAGTCCTGGGAGATCATTAAACTGTACTTCGAAATTAGAAATACATGGTTCCTTTACACCCTAACGCTACTATTCTGCTTAATGAACTGAAAATACACGATCTCTGAAGAGTGCATAAACGACAAGAAAACATCATAGTATACACACAGACATATGAAATTCGGAAAACCTTAACTGGATTAACAATATCAACAAAAAAGAGACTACTGCACCGCTTCTTCTTCTTCTGAGACGCTGAGCCCGCGAAGAACTGTAGGAGAGCGGCGACCCTTATGGCCTTATCTCCCTCCTGGAGGTTCGGAGTCCCACTTTATTCCCTCATCGCTAAAACCCTCTGTGGATCCATGCCCTCACCGATAGTTAAGGTTCAGCTTTCCCGACGCGGTATCCAGCAGACACAATCAGCAGGCAACTCCAAAACGCCGGTCCCTGAGATCGCGCAGGTCCTACTGCAGGAAACCACACAACGCGCAGTCGCCGCAGCCTCCAACCGCCAGCCAGCAGAGGGGCGCTACGCCACCCTTGACCCGCTCTGGGTGGCCAGCAGGAGAAGGGGGCGGCGAGCCTCAGCGCTGCGGCGACGAGCCCAGAGAGGCAGGTAGTTACAGGTATTTACTCGCTTCTCGGATAATTCCAGTCGTCAAGGAGAGCTCTACCTGCCTTTGCCCTGTCCTTTTCTCCTCCGCCCCTGCAGCCGTCTAGAATGGAACAGTCCTGCCATGGGGATTGTGGGAGGCGCAGGCGCGAAGAGTGGAGGGTGGGGGGGGTGGAGGCGGCGGCAGCCGTGGCGGCGGTTGGTGGCCGTGGGGGCGGGGAAGGGGGAGAGGAAAGAAGAGGAGGTGGAGGAGGAGGAGGTGGAGAAGGTGGAGGAGGAGGAGGAGGAGGAGGCGGAGGAGGCGGCGGCTTGGGCGCGCGCCCGCGCCGCCGAAGGTACGCTTGAGGGCCTGCGCCACAGCGGGTTTGACAGGGGCTGGGGGGGTGGTGCACAGAGGCCCGCGAGAGGAGGAGCCCCTGAGCGAACGCGCACAGGCTGGTGGGCGCGCGGGACGGCGGGCGGTGGTGGTTGGTGGGCGCGGGAGCGCGGAGCCAGATCCACTCCTACGCGAGCCGGCGGGCGTGCGCGCGCGACGGCCGGAGGGGGGCGGTGGGAGAGAGCGGGGAGGGAGGAGTGGGAGGCGGTGGGGGGGCTGAGGCGCCCTTCGCTCCCTCCCTCCTGAGGAGCAGCCACCGCCGCCGCTGCCGCCGCTCCCGCCGCCATTTTGGGTTCGCTTTGCGGAGGGGGAGACGATCCCCTTCTTGGGTGCGGGACCCGCCTCCCCTCAGTTTCCCCCTTTGAGCCCTACGTCTTTCCCTTCTCTCTCGCATTTCCGCCAGTCCGCTCACCCAAAGGCCGCCTCCTGACACGCGGGAGAGAGCCGCTGTGGACTGAGGGAAGCGGAGGCGCCTGGCAGCCACCCCCTCATCCCCACTTCCCTGCACTCTCATCGCTCTCGGCCTCGGCCTCTGACACGGTGAGTGGAGCGGTTCGGGCAGGCCTTGGGGCCTAAGTGCGCTCTCTGAGACTCAGTTCTGGGATGTCCTGTCATCTCCCGGACCCTCTGGGGGAGAGGTGGTAGGATGGGGGAGGGGAGGAGGAAAGGGGATCCTGAGCTATCGGGGAAATCCTTTCAGTCGGGGTTGAAGGGATGTCCCTGACAGGCGTGCTCCTGGCTTGTGGGCCGGGGCTGGAAAGTAAGTGATGGAGGCGGAGTCGGTTGTGCCCCTGACAGGTTAGTTTGTGTCTGGAGGCATGGTTGGAGCATCTCCTGTAGTCCAGTTTGAGTCTGCTAAAGGGTGTTCAGAGGGCACTTTACCTGTGTGGCAAGGTCTATGGTAGCCCTGAAGCGCAGAACTATATACAAGAACGAAAGAATGATCTCAGTGATAGTTTAATAAATGTCACTGTTTAGTTTGTACATGGAAGGATGTTTTTGGTCTGGAAGACAGATGGTCTGTTGATGGAGAGCGACTGTGTTTGTGTGTTTATGCAAGGATGGAAAGTGTTCCAGAAGAGTTTCTTTGTATTTGTATAAGTGTAATGGAGTACTCCTTGTAAGTTAAGTTTATTTTTAAAATAAATGTTGAGGTGTTTTTTGCAGATTGATACGTATGTGTATTTTAGGGATTGGGAATGCCTAATTACGTGTGAAAGAGCATTAAAGGCATTACTCTAGACAGTTTATTATATATGTTTATGTGTAATTGGAGGGGGAAGAAACTTGGCGTAGCCAATTGAGGTCTTAGGAATAATTTGTGCCTTTGAATATAGAATGAATTATGTAAATGTGAAGGTCCAAAACATCTTTCATAGAATAATTATGGTAACATTTTACATTGAGCTTTTATATTCAGAATACTGTTTCAACTTTTTGTGATTCTAAATCTCTGAATATGGTAGGGCATGTATTTTCTCCCATATTATGAAATAGTAAATTGCAGCATAAAGAGGTAGCTTTTCCAAGATCACAGTAAGTTGGTGACAAAGTTGAGATTATAGTGCAGATATTTTAAGTATACTTCAAGTTTTATCCAGAATTACATTCATCATATTGTAATGCCCCAAAAGGTCTTATTGGCAAAGGTGAGTATATTGAAAAGACAGGGGCAGAAATAACTTGTCGGATTATATTTGGCAGAGGCTTAGTGTTTAGAGCTTAATAGTGTTAAACGTGTATGGAATGTGTGTTGATCTTGCCTGTCTGACCTGTATGAAATAAATATCTTTGACTTTATTATCTTTTTATTTTTTGGTCCTGGGAATCGAACTCAGGACCTTGAGCTTGCCAGCCAGGCACTTATGCCGCTGAATTATATCCCAGGCTTTTTTTTTTTTTTTAATTTTTTTTTAGACAAGGTCTCGCTATGTAGTTCAGGCTGGCCTTGGACTCATTATGTGGACCAAACTGGCCTTGAACTTGTATGGATTCTCCTGCCTCTGCCTCTAGAGTGCTGGAAGTACAGGCATTCAGTCCTAGACTTTTATTTTGTTTTTGTGGAAGAAGGGGAGCCCTGCATTTTGCAGTACTGGTATAGAACCCACAGTCTTTGCACTGACTGCACCCCCAGCCTGTTGATTGATTGACAGTCTTGCTAAGACACCATGCCCAGCTGAAGCAAAGTATATCTGATACATTAGCTTGTGCATTTGAAGGAGGGAAGGGTTTCACAGCTTTGCTCCGGTGCTGACAATTTAACTTTATTTTTTTAATACTTTAGTGTTGAAGTTTGAACTCAGGACCTCATACCTGCCAAATATGAGTCTACTACTGAGCTACATGCCCAGCTAGACAGTAAACCTTTAGAAGGATCCTCTTTCATTCACCTAGTAAATAGTGTTTATTGAATTACCTATTCAAGAAATGGTCCTTGCCTTGGGGTTAGAATAATAAAGGTGCCATTGTTGAGATAGTCTGGGTGCATATTGGGGGGGGGGTTGTCTTGACAGTCATATGTATTAAGTTGAGTGAGCAAGCAACTCAATGTGGAATTGAAATTAAAAAGCCTTTCAAAGTCTGTTCAACTGAGACAGGAGGATTTCAGGTTTGAATTTAACCTGGGCAATTTTGTGAGACCTTGTTATTGTCTTTTTATTTTTAATTTTTTTCAAGATGGAATCTCTATGTAGTTTAGGCTGGCCTTGAATTCAAGGTGATTTTCTTGCCTCAGCCTCTTAGCTCTCAAACCTGCTCGTGTGTGTGTGTGTGTGTGTGTGTGTGTGTGTGTGTCCCCATCCATGTATGTCCCCCTCCTCGTGACAGGGTTAGTCTCCTATGTAATTCATGTTGGCCTAGAACTCAATCCTCCTTCTTCAACTTCCTGAGTGCTGGGATTATAGGCATGTGCCACCACATCCAACCGAGACCTTGTTTTGAAATAAATTGAAAATAAAACTACTGGGGGTGTAGCTCATGTGAAGGCCCTGAGATTAAATCCCTAGCACTCTCTCCCCTTTTGGAGGGAGTTTAGATGTTTCAGACAATTTAATATGTAAGGTTTACAAGAATCTAAACTGGTTGAAGTAGAGTACACCTGTAATCCCAGCACTTGGTAGGCTGAGGCAGGAAGATCAAGGCATTAGAGGCTAGCCTGGGCTACATAGTGTACTCAAAGCCAAGCTGAACTGCACAGTGAAACCCTGTTTTCAAAACAAAACAAAAAACCTGTAATGAAATGGAACCAATTTATGTTTAGGTCTTTGCTCCTTACCTTAGGTTAAGCTTGTTTAGGGGTAAAGATGCTGGTATGAGTTTAAGGTAAAAGATTCTGCCATAGTATTTGAAGATACAACAGAAGAAATTTAAAATTATTTTTAAAACTTTTGTTTATTTTTATTGTACTGGCCATTGAACCCAGCCTTATTTTATCTTTTCTTTATGAATTTATTTCTGCAATGTTAGTACATGATTTTGAATTACACAAGTATGTGTAGTGTCTTTATCCCCAAGTTTTTTTTTTCTTTTTTGTGTTTTCTGAGACAGGGTCTTGCTGTGTAGTAGAAGGTTGGCCTTAGACTCACTATGTAGGCCAGGTTGGCTTCCAAGTCAGCAGTGATCCTTCTGCCTCAGCCTCCCAAATACTGGAATTACGGGCATGTGCCACCACGTCTAGCCCCAGAGTCTTGAGGGGTAGGCCCATTTCCTTTCTATTTTGTGCTGGAACTGAGATGGTTTGAAGTTCATTTGTTACAGAGTTTAGTTTAGTTATAATAAACACTGCATTACTCCTATGCAACAGACGCATAAAATTATGTGGCCTCTGGTCTTGAGATTCTAAGCTAATTGAATCACTGAGTTGAATGATAAAAGGGGCTCTCAGAAGGACTAGAGGAAAAACAGATTTCTAGAAGTTGAGATTTTATAACCATTCACAGAGTTTGCCATTGTTCTTGGGAACCTATAGAGTGAACAACTTGGTAGAAAAATATTTAGTATCATCCGATGTTTTTGGATAAAGGAACTATCTGGTTTGGAAAGGAGACAGACACCTGGGCATGGTGGTGCACACCTGTAAGCACACAGGAAGACTGAGGCTGGTAGACGATTGCAATTTCAAGCCCAGCTTGGACAGTTTGGCACTTAGCAAGACTCTTTTCTCAAAATTTAAAAAAGATTTTAAAAGGGGCTAGAAATGTAGCTCAGTGTGAAGGCCCTGGGTTTAATCTCCAGTATCACCCCCTTCCTCCCTCCAAGGAAGCAAACATTCCTATGTTTGGTTGTTTTGTTTTTTGGGACATGGACTTAGCTGTGTAGTACAGGCCTCAAAGTAGCAAATTCTTCCTTCTTGAACTTCTTGAGTGCGGAGATTACAGGTGTGCACCACTACGATTTGTATTCATTCTTTGTTTTGGGTTATATTTCTGTAGTAAGTCTATGTAAATATATCATTTTGGGGGTATACATATACATCTAGAAAACTCTTGTGTAGATAAAATTCAGAAGCAATTTGACAGACTACTCAATCTGAATTTACAATTGGAAATTAAAAATCATTACTGC